CAGTAAAGACAGAGGCAAAGAAGGCATTTAGTAACTCTGCCTTCTCGGCATCCTCCGTCACCAAGGCCCCTTCCCCATTCAGCAGTGCACTAACATTTTCCCTCGTCTTCCTCTTGCTATTGACATACTTATAGAAACCCTTCCTGTTGTCTCTGACTTGCCTCGCCAACTGTAATTCCACCCGGGCTTTGGCCTTCCTCGTTTCGCATCTGCAGTCTCTGACAATGTGCCTGTATTCCTCCCACGTGCCTGTATTCCTCCCACGTGGCCTGTCCCTTCTTCCACAAGCTCTTCAATTAGGACCTCACCCACTCAAAAAAGAGATGATTGTTCCTATTACTTCAATCCCATGCAGAGCACATAATTAACAATAGAAGAAAACTCCACCGTATCTTTACCTCTCTAAACCCAAAAGACAGCTCCTTGCTTGTATTTCATTTTGTATCTGTCGCTTTCACTTCTCTTTATATGGCATTTGATTTTCACATCAACAGCACTTAATGGGTTCTTAAAGTAAACTTCTACTTTTTTCATTCTTAAGACAAACTCTAAGTTCTCAGGGAAGTGAGTGCACAAGTATTCACAAGAAGCCTTGGAAACTTACCTGTTAACAGCTCTCTGTTTAGGTTTGCTCTATCCACAGAGAGAATGTACTGGAAAAACAAACAAACAAAACACACAGATAAACGATGAGTTTAGGAAGGATTTCTAAAGACTATTCTGCACACACATATGGGAACAACCATCTCCTTGAAGTGTCCCAGTAACAGCCCCCCTGGGACTAGGGCATGCACTTCAATCCTCTCCCCTCTCACAGCATCTTTTCTATGAGTATGAACCCCAGGCTGGATACATTCTCCAGCAGTGATCTGTTTTCTGTGACATGGGAGTGAGTGGGAGAAAAGAGGAAGGTAATTGAAACAGCAAGGCTGACCCAACTGTATTGCAGTGATTGTGCCCTGGAGACAAAGCTTTGTGAAGAGTTATGGGAATCAAAATTTATGTGCTTCAGGTTTGCCAAAAAAGGTAAAGAAAGAAAAAGTAAAACTTTACTTGGAGGCATGGGCAGCCACATCAGCTTGCAAATCAGATGATGCATAAAACAAATACTATCTATTTGCTCAGGATAGGGAAGCAGCAAATCCCAAGATGGAGGTAAGTGAATTTCTTTATGGATTGCAATTATCTCAGTCGTTGTGGATGCCCTTTAATCCCTGTTCTGTGGGCAGCTGCAACCCATCACACAGAGCTGTAAACAAGTCCAAAGATCCCCTTTGCTCTTGGGAGTACCTCAGGAATGACAGAACACCACTACCTGGTTCTTCTTCCCATAGGGGATTGAATACTTCTTCCCTGTAGGTGTGTGTATCCGCCTTGCCCGCATGGGAATGCCTTTGGACACGATCTGAAATTGGAAGTGAACAGGCTACAGGCTGCTGGCAACTGAGTTGCTAAAGCCCAGGACACACTCCACTAACACCATCCCCTCCATAAACACTGCATGCGGTGCGACAAATGGAGCCAGAACCAGACAAATGCGATGCTCCGTGCTCATATACTATGGAAAAGTTTACAAGGCTACAGGCACAAAGTCACTGCATTTTACTAAGATGAGTTACAAACTCATTCTCACAAAAATCAGGGTGAGTGATTTCTGGACTGAAATGAAAAAACCCAAGCGTATAAGGAGCAGGGGAAAACAGCCAAATTATATTTTGCTGCTGGGATATGAGCTGCCAAAAGCTGGGTTCCTTAAAATGGGGGGCAAGTTTAAAGATCACATCAGTGTGAAAATCTGGATTTTAAATGATATTGAGCACTCTGGAGAAGAGGTCAGGCTCTGAGAGTGCAAGCATAGAGAAATTACAGCACATTCAGGCACCAGTCCAGAGCATGTTAATGAAGGCAGTGAAAAACGCAGGCCAAAAGCTTAAGACATTACGAGAAAATACAAATCTGGACATTTCAGGGGTGATATCAGTTTCTCTCCAGCGACTTTTACCTCCCAAAGGTGACAACAAACATGGCAGAAGAGCACAGGGGAGAGGTAAACACGGGAAGAAGCCTGTTGACTGATGGTCTTGCAGGGGATACCATGACAAACCAACACCCTCTGTCATGAAGTCTGCAGGCCTCAGCAGAGCCCCAGTTATTTGGGGATCAGGGTGGCAGCCTCCAGGGCAAGTGAACCAGCCCTGTGCCACAAGGCAAAGGATGGCCAGGCTGCTGGTGTGCAGCAAGGAAAGGTCTATCTAGCCCTCCTGAAAGCAGACCTACACCTGCAGTGACACTGCAGTGCTTGGGGAGCAGAAGAGAGAGCCCATCGGTCACCAGCCTGAGTTAACAGCATCCTAAGGGGGAGGGAGGAGGATACCTGGTCTTCCATCCCCACAGCTTTGAGGGCCTGGCGTCCTCTGTGGGAGAGAGCCAAGTTAATGCTCCTGCCCCGGGCAAAAGTGGCCACTCGGATATCTGCACAGAGAGAGAGGTGGATTACACAAATGTCAACATGTGCAGTGCAGGCCAGAGCCCAGGCTGGGCTGCATCTCCTGTGATCTCCAGTGACACCGGGCCAGGGTGAGGTCTGCAGCCACAGCAGCTCCAGAAGAAAGTCACCACCCAAATACAGAGTTTCATTGGGCTACAGTCATAGCTCTGGCACTGAAGAACCAGAGCTCCTTGTTCTCTCCCTGCAATGAGTTTGGTCTCCATGTCAGCATCTTCCCTGTAAAGGTTAGACCACGACCACTGAGCTGCTTGTCTGGGACACTTGTCAGAGAAACAATAAGGTGTCCGCATCCCTACAAGGAGATAAAGGGCCCTGGGTGCTGCTGATGAGCAGGGATATTCAAGGTGCTACCTGAGTTTCTGAATGTATGTTATGATCTTTCTGGTCCTTAGACATCATCTAAGAAATACAAACACTGCATGTTTCTGCTAAGGCAGATAGCCCTGCTGGTGGCCACACGCTTCCATGTGCCAGCGAAGATTGTTCTGAGAAGTGGAAATACACCCCTCTATGCCAGTACTCTTTGAAAACAGTAAGGCTGCCACACTTTAAAAAGTCTTTCCTCTTCTTAATGGTTTCTGAAGCTGCATCTAGCTTTCTTCCAGGGATAGCCTTTGCCACTAGCCTCACCAGAAGGCAAGGTCAACCTACTTACTCAGTGTGGATTCATTACATCTAATCACAGAATGCAGGATAGCTCTTCTGGCTGATGTCACTTCTACTCTTGCTGCCAGCATGCCTGCCTTCCCACCGATTACAGTGGTTGTAAGTCAGAGTTTTTAATCCTAATGGACAACAACCCTAATATATCAAAAGTAATTGCTCAAATTTCTGACTCAGCTTGTGACAATGGTACCAACCTATAATTCTTAACATTGAAACCAACTTTCAAAAGTGAGGATTTAAGAATCAATATTTAAAGGGGATCAATTTAGTAACTCAGTGGTAGGTTCTATCCACACAAAATAGCATATTTCAAGTAAATGCTTCACTCCACACACAGAAGCTAAAGAAAAGAGCAAAAATAATATCCTAAAAACAATTCTTCCAGATTCTATTTTTCGCTTTTCCAGTTTCAATGTGCTCATGCAGTTTTGTTTTTGCCTTTTTTTTCAGAAATTGCTGTAAGAGACACCAAAATATTAATAAAGCAATAACTAGACTGGACTTACCTTCTCTTGCCTCATAAACATCAACATGGAAACCTCGTCTGGCAAAGAAACAGGCATTTAATGCACCCACCTACAAGAGAAGGATGGGGGATTTTCATGGGGACATAACAGTTCTCAGTATATGAACAAGCTCCCTATTCCTCTGTGGACTACATTTATCCTGCTTGTTAGAATCCAGGATTCTGCAGCATTTCTTTGGAACTGACTCCAGGAAGCTAGACTGACTTACCTGTATGAAAGCAAAATACTACATAAAATAAAGCTATATATGCCTTGTTTTATATTTAAGTGGATGCCACTATCTGTACTATATCCCACCTCCTTGTATTCCTAATTTTCTCCATTAAACCATGTCAGAACAGGAACTACGGGTTCTTTATTTCAGAATTCTCTTCTAGCAGCATGAGGATCAAGATGTTAATGGCCTAACATAAATCTAAAAGAAGACTTGGGTACTTTCATACTCCATGCTGTTTTAAAGCCAACCCACTCAGCAGCTAGCAACATAAAAAAAATTGTGACCCAAGAGTGGACAGAGGACAGTGTTTTCTTTTAGCCTGGTAATTACAGGTGTACATTAGGAGTATGGTAACCATGCATTTCACATTGAGTGATTTGCTTAAAACCAGAAATAGCCAAGAGGCCAGATGATGTCCCAGGGAGCCCTGCTTGATGCTTTTGAAAGGGCAGAACCTGACCTGCAGTTTCCCAACACATGGCCCACCAGTGCAGAGAGCAGGGCTCTGAAGGTGCAACAAATCTCTGTGCTACTGTGTGTGATGTCCAAGCAAGGCCTGTAACTTAGTGTACCTGAGCCACTACTATTCTACTTCCCAGATGCCTTCTCTTGAGAAAAGGGCTCTTTGGGCAGCAGGATTTATTTGCTTACACCACATTAGGCAAAGCACTGTAGCTTTTGGACTGGGCTGAACCATTTGTTTCACTTACACTGATATCTGCCACTATCACCTTTGGTATCTTTAAGATATCTCAAAGAGCAGGCCTCTTAGCAGAGAATCCTAGCTGCACAAAAAGGTCTCACTATTTCTCACAGTGTTAGTTCAAGCAACTCCACGATAATAAAATATTCCCTTTTGGAGGACAGGGTAAGAAAAGGCACAGTGAAAGAAAAGGCTTCGTTGAGATCTAAACTCAGGAAAGGAGATATTTTTTCCCTAATTTGCAAAACAAAGCAGTGAATGAGCTGTGCTACGAGAAAGTAAATCTCACAAAAAGGAAATAGATAAAGTAGACAAAGCAGCTGCTTGCATTTCAAATGTATCTTCCCTCTCCTATCAAGCTGTCTCCATGACATTCGTTCTCTGTGTAGATAAGTTTTATTACGTAGCTGCCTTTCCAGAAGGCATCATGGTTAAGCTCAGCTCAAATGAATGTTCACCCAACCTATAACCAAGCAACACTGTCATAGTCCAGACTCCCTAACAGATGCAACGAAATGAGAGTCAAAAACATGCATCTTACCAGACCACCTCCAATAATGGCTATTTTCTTCTCCCGTGTATCATTGGGCTTCATTGTTGTGGCAGCCTCCAAGGAGCAAATTTTTACTGCTACTTTATCACGAGAAGCAAATACCTCTTTCTCACTTTGTTGATGTGCTACATTTGCCAGAGGGGAGGAGACGAAAAAGGAAGTGGGTGGCTGAGTCATGCCCTTTTTCTCCTTCTCTAGTTAATATTCAAATTTTCATTTCCACATCATCTCCCAGTAAATCAGCCTAACACTATAACTAGCCACATTGAGCCTCGCATGCAGAACTGCTCATTTGCCCCTAATATGACTGTAGCACTATTTAAGTTTGCTTTAAGACCTCTTTTGAAATTTGTTAAAAATCCTGGTTTTCAAGCTTCACTCTTCCCCCCACCAAATAAAATTCAGCCTGCATGCCTGTGTTGAGCAGGAGGAATTGCAGCCACCTGGCTTTTGCTGGGTGCTCACAGACCTCCTCCCTGGCAGGAAGGAATAAAGACAAATTGCTTCACCAAAGCCTGCTCCCAGCTGCTAGCAGTCCTTCACCCGCAGAACCTGTGCGTGGTTTGGGACAGTTTTTGGGGATGTGACTGGGTGGAGGCCCCCTACCCACACTGCACAGTCCTCCTACACCTTCAGCCATGTGTACCATTTCACAAGTTTTTCCCTTGAACTGCTCTGCTGAAAGAGTGGACAATGCTGTACAGAGCAGGCTTAAGGAATAAACAAAACTTCCCCAAAACACCGATTCAGCTCTTTCAGTGGTAAGGAGCTCAGGAATAAGGATTAGAAAGCGACTTGTCCTAAAGCGGGGACAAATACTCTTCCTTATCCAAGAATATAGTACACGATCTAAAGTAAAAATAAATAAGGCCACACTGAAATTCAGCTCTCCACTACTCCTACAGTATCTAGATTATAGCCTACATATAATAACGAGCAGAGAAAACGCCCCATACACTACTGACCACTCATTGCAAGCCCTGCAATGTACAGCCTGGAGCAAAGCTGCTCAGGGTCAGAGGAGGGAACTAGGGTCAGACAGACCAACAAACCAGGCAGGTCCCTAAGGAGAAGGCAGGTCCAAGAGGAGGCTATGGAGTCAGTCCATGGATAGGGATCTGGACCAAGAAGCTCCACAGCAAGGCAGAGAGATAAGTGCAACCATGTAGGAGACAACACCTACAACATAGCTCAGGCAAGGACTAAAGGCCCAGGGCTGAGCTTAAATGGTGCTTCTGGAGCCATGGCATGGTCATAGGTGAGGTTGATCAAGGCAATTAAAACCTTTTAGTGTAGGTAAATGCCTCTCCTTTAAAGGACATTTCCTTTAAATAAGTCACCCCTGAGGATACTCCAGTAGTTTTCCCTGATCTACATAACAATGAATTGATTTATATTATCTATCAGCTAATGTATCTATAGCAAGGAAAAGCGAACACAAAAGTCTGCCCAGAGGCAGGATCAACTCTCTTTACACATAATACCTACATTCCTGTGTGAATTGTTCCAAGAATCTCCCAGGATGAGGATTTCATGTTCTCTCTGAAGGCTCCATTTTAGCATGCTGTTATCCATAGGGTTGGGAAGTGTTCCTGCCCAGCCTCAACTGCCCTGTTTGGTATTCAGGCCCACTTCTTCACATCCCACCCACAAAGCCTGCATGCGGCAAAGGGGCACAGAAAGAACAGGGAAAAGCCAGAGAGCAAAGTGAGGTTTACATGATAATTAGCAGTAAAATTATTTCCAAATTATTTTCAGAGCACTGTCAGCAAAGCATTAGCTTCCAGCAGCGCCAGTTATTATTTGGAAAGCTCCCTCCCAGCACTCTCTGGCTGCCTGTGCTGCAGGCTTTACAGATTACTGTAGCACTGTGCCTTACTAATTTAAGAACCATGCTTTAAGATATGCTAATTAATTCACGATCTCCTGTGGATAATACAGCATAGCACCATGTAATTAAAGTTGGTCTTATAATAGTGTTTCTTTGGATGGCTGGGTCAGAGCTTCACAAGCAATCTCAGCCATGATTCAATGACCTTGGTAATGCTTCAATATAATTTTTTGTGGGAGAGAAGGTAGAAGGGAGGGAGCAAGCAATTTGGTTTGAGGGAGCCAAACATGCAGGTCAAGAAGATGTCAAGGGCAGAGCTTGGTATTATTTAAGGCAGAATAGACACTCACAGACACAGAAGCAGCCAGGAAGACTGGAAGAAAAGAAAGGATGGCAGGTGTACATGTATTCTGCCTGTGGAGGAGGCATCAGTCCAGCTGTTTTGGAGCTCACATGGAAGCTCCTGCCTTACCCAGGGCTGGCAGCACCCATCTGCCACTGTTCCCACCCACTCCACAGGTGCTGCAGAGCCAAGGTTGGGCTAACCCAACATTTAAGGATCATTTCACCTTTAATGACCTAGCTAAGAAGAAATGGAAGGTCAGAAAGAACTGCATGTCCCTTGAAGAAACTTCAGGCTTAACTCTGCTGCTTTGGAAAGCATTTCTGTAAAATGCCACAGACTGTATTAGTAGAGCCTGGTTCTCTATAGCTCACCCATTTAATCTCTGTAGTGCTGGCAACACCCATCCAGAGCAGCATATCCTGTGAGATGTGCTAGTGTTTTAAAATCCTAACACTTTACCTAAATCGGTAAGAAGATTCAGGATAGAGAACAAGTAAAACACCACATGTGAAGTTCCTCACTTATTTGCTCCATTTATAAAGTCTCTCTCTGGAAATGCAGATGGCAACATCCAACTTCTGATCTGGAAACACATTTTCAAGCATTAATGGCTTTAATGATGATTCACCAACCCTGAACAAGATACTCCACATGCAGTGGAGACTTTGACCACTGCTACAGTTTGAAAGCTTTTCTTCCAAGATGATCAACTCATCTAGATTAGATCAACTAATTTCTGCCAAACTGACCTACTGAAAATAGTTCTTTCTTGGTATAGCAGATTAAATTTCACAAATTTGGCATTATATCAAGTATAGCATCTTTTTCTCTAGGTAACAATTCCAAGCAAAATTCAAGTCTTGTTTTTCTTCAAACTCAATCACACATTTCTTTAGGCAAAACCAGTGTAAAGATTTCCTTTTCTTTTTAATTTTGGTAGAATACATCAGCCATGATGATAGCATTCTGAATCAATAAATTCCCTCATGATGCATCAGATAAATCCGGTTTAAAAACAGACAAGATAACAAGGCACGTAAGTGCTACCAACTCATTGTTCATCTTCTTGCATGAAGCACAACAATCACTGAAGGCCAATGAAGGGAAATAATGGCATATGAATAACACTTAGCTTTCTGAAGCCAGAAAGATGGCAAAGGAAACCTAAAAAAGGAGAGTCTCAGATTAAAGGCTGCCATCTGAACAATAGTTATAAAAGTAAAGCAAATGGTCTTGATTAACAATATATCACTGAAGACATTAATATTCAAGGATAACCTTGGATTTTTGACCAAATCTAAACCCTGAGTATATGAAAGAAATATTATGGAAGAATGAAACACACATACGATTCCAGACAGCATAAATTCATCTCCGATAGGCGGTTAAAAAAAACTCTGGGTAGCATTACAAGTAGAAAACTCAAAGGACTGAGAGGCAGAGACCTCCTGAGGCAGAAAAAATGAACTGCAGTTAAACATGGTTGCAGATATTGCATTTTAAATATTTAAACATTTAAGTATGAGGAAAAACAGATTTCCCCCTCTGCCCTGGTTAAAGTTATCTATCCATATACTGTAAGCCTTCTAAACCTAAAGCTTGGAAGGAAGCAACATCCGTATCTTCATATATTATGTAGGTAACTTGCATTTGCCTTGCTCCTCTAATTTCTGATTCTCCAGACAGGTAATTACTATAGAATAAACATTATTCTCTAGTAAAACAAAAAACCTTGAGAAGAATACTTTAGGGTGATTAATGGCTTTAGATAATAAAAACCTTATTGATAAATCCTTTGTTCTATTTGCATTATCTTTCCCCCAGGCAGGCAGTTGCCTCCTTTGTAAAGCATTTTCCTGGATCACAGGTGAAGGGCTTCTTATCCTTGGAACTAGGTCATTTGTGCTCATTTGTGACAGCTCAAACAATACTGGTGTTAAGCTTGTTTCATGCCCCTGGGGCTACTGTAAGATGTCAGGCCTGTAGAACATTCGGACACATAATTGCTTGGTTGCAAGAAAGACAGTGAAGAAGTGATGACCATTTGCTGCTGCTCTAGGCTTTGAAGATGAGAAGAAACAGCTGAATTATCTGCAACTGGTGAGCTGACAGCAAGCACATGGTACAGCTGAAGAGCTGCAGTCTTTCTGTGTCACTTCTTGCACCAATGTGCAATTGTACAGACTTTAGTCTGTCAGACTATTTAGGAACTGTTCCAATGAAAGATGATTTAGTGTGCAGTCAGTATTCAGGCTACCTGTAAAATGAAAAACATGTTTTTGGTTTTACTGAGTTTGGTGGTAATCAGAAATAACCTTCCTGCAGCTGCAAAAGGACAGTGTAGATGTGTAAGAGCTCAGAATTCATGATGGAAGGTAGCTAAGAAGGAAAAAGACAGCTGCTTAAATATTAGACCTCCCTTTGCTGATTTGGGCAAATAGGTAAAAGATTGCTAATTGTACTGATGCTGGAAGCTGAGATGTATACCTGTACAGAGTGCAAATCCATACAAAAGGGTGGGAAATGCTCATTCTTTGCAATCCCATTAGCTAAACATCTGTCCAGGAATTCAAATCCTGTATTAAAGCAGACATGGAGACACCATGCCAGAGGATCTTGAGCATGCAGCTACCTCCACTTCATGCTTCCATTTAATGAGCCTTTGGAAGAGAAGTGGCACAGAAACAAACACTGTTCTGACAAAAGCAGTAGCACTGTTCCTAGCCAAACAACACTCTCAATGGTATTTCCTTACCAGCATCAGGACATAACACTTCTTAGCGCTGCTGCTCTCTCTCTCCTTTCTTGCTATCTCTTCCTGCTACATAGGGCAAGACATTATCTTTGCTTGGATCCTTGCCAGTGTCCCCTACTGCCACTAATATTCACAGTAGTAGATCACAGTAATAAATCATTTGAAAGCTAGTCCCTGGGAATGATCTGCCTACACCTAGCAAGCAGTCCAA